CATGGGCCTCTCTCTCATGTACACTGAGGCCTCTTAACAGGCAAATTATATTTACACTACCTCTAAGGTCCTTTATACTGCCAGAGTAAGACAACGCGGTCTTAGCGTAAAGGAGAATCAGGCCCTTTGTTTTCCTTGCTCATACAACTTACTATGTCTCCTCTCCACTATTAATTCTCTCTGTAACTAGGTTTAACCTCTGAAGTGTTTGGGGATATATTTGTATGGCATCTTACACTGATTTTTTGGCCTGGTCTACACTGTGGGGGGTGTCGATGTAAGATCCGCAACTTCAGCTACGGGAATACCGTAGCTGAAGTCGACGTATCTTATTCCGACTTACCTCCCGTCCTCACGGCACGGGATCGACGGCCGCGGCTCCCCCGTCGACTCCGCTACCGCCGCTTGCTCCGGTGGAGTTCTGGAGTCGACAGGGAGCGCGTTCGGGGATCGCTATATCGCGTCTCGACAAGACGCGATATAGCGATCCCCGATAAATCAATCGCTACCCGCCATATCGGCGGGTAGTCTGGACGTACCCTTTGTTTCTACAGGTAATAAGGGCTCTATTATCTCTACTTAGCTGCCCTTTGTTAGTTTGTTTCAATTCTCCACTGCATCTTAAGGCGATTTGTCTCCTCAACAGTAAATTCTCTGGAAAGAGGGATCCCAAACTTAAATGTTCTTTAATCACAAACTGAATTATGGAACGACTGGGTTATGCACAATTTGGTAACAAGAGGCTTAAAAGGAGTGCTCTGTACTCTTATGCATAGGAAGAATGACTCCTTAAGACAGAACTGATGCAACTTTAAAACTGTGTGTTGAAAGGCTCTTTTTCTGTTGATAGCTTTGGAATAACAGATTCCCAAGTGAGATGAGCAGATCCGTCTCACAAATCAAGTCACACTGGGGTGGTGCTAAGGAAAGTGGCAGACAAGTGTGAATTTGAGAGTTTGTTTGCATATTTAATATTACGATTTCATTTCAGAGTGATTACTTCTGTTAATTACTAATTGTACCCAAACAAAAAGTTAGACTTCAGTTCGGGGAAATCATAGAAGCTGAGACAGAAGAGACCTCACTCAGATAATCCAGTCCAGCTACTGTCCAAATGCAAGACCGTTCCCTGTAGTAATTTTTTTTAGGGTTTGTCCAGTCTAGATATAAGTGTCTCAGGAAATAAGGCTTACATTGATTCCCTTATGAGATCATTTCACACTTTAAGAGATCACACTCTTAGGTTATTTTTTCTGAGTTCCAGCCTATATTTAACTTTCCTGGACTGCATCCAATTGCTCTTAACTATACAATTCTTAACTAAACAATTCTTCTTTGTTTTTCGTGTTTACAACCTTAAAATATTTGCAGACAGTTATGTCCCCACTTAGTCTCAGGGCTTGTCTACACTACCGCGTGGGGTCGATCTAAGATACGCAACTTCAGCTACGTGAATAGCATAGCTGATGTCAACATACTTAGATCTATTTACAGCGTTGTCTTCACTGCGGTAAGTTGACAGCTGACACTCTCCCGTCGACTCTGCTTGCACTTCTCGTTCTGGTGGAGTACTGGAGTCAACAGGAGCATGCTCAGCAGTCGATTTATCGTGTCTATACTAGATGCGATAAATCGACCCCTGCTGGATAGATCGCTGCCCGCCAATCCGGCAGGTAGTGTAGACAAGCCCTCAGTTTTGTCAACCTTTACACATCTCAATTCCCTCCGCTCCGCCACCACCTTATTCTGATAAATCATTTCAGGACTCCCAAGGGAAAGAGTTCTTTATGTATAAAATATTCACAAATAAACACATTTATACTTGTACATGCATAATGAGATGTTAATGATTTTAAATTAAAAGCTAAAACTACAAAACAAATGTCAAAAAGTTTGAGTGTGCTTTTTGTTTTATTTAAATTATAAGTTTTTCTTTTTAAAAATAAACCTGTTTGAAATGAAATCTGAATTTAGTACAAAATATGTTAAGGCCTAAACTGATCAGAATCTCTTAAAACATTTAAATAAAAATGAATAGGCTGAATCCATAAGCTTCTATAAAAAATTCTGAGTTAAAGGCTGCTTTTCTATAGAAAGAAAAATGTTTTTCCCTTGATTCTAACCTGCGAGGTCAAGCTTTATAAATATGGCACGAAAGGTCACGTACCATATTTAGGACTTGTACGGTTTAATAAAAGTAAATTTTATGCGCTATTTTGTGCGTTTAATTAAATTCTAGTTACCATCCTAATGCAGCTTGATGTAAATCAGGAGCAAAGAGTTAATTATCTAGTAAACAAGAAATGTATCATTCCCTATTTTCTAACACAATAAGAATCAGAAAATATTAAGCTATATAATTGCTTAAATAAAGATATATCGTTATAATGCATCTTCCCAGGTAGCAAAAAGTAATGCAAAGGCTCCATTTAATTGAAAAGCAACAGGCTTTACTGGTTATATCAGCCAACGAAAATGCACCTCTCTTTAGAAAATAATTGAAATAAAAATGGAAAAGTTGATTTAAATTGATGATTTAAACTGAGGCTTTCCACTTAGTGATTTAAATCGCCTTGATTTAAGTGTCCTGATACACACATTACAATCTTTTCTTTAAAACGAATCTCACTGAGAACTACCCAGCCCTCACCTCCCAAGGGATAAACTCCCATCCCCACACACAGACCCTTGAAACAGAACAAGTACAGGAGTACTCAGGGGTGTGGAGAGGGTGAAGAAATCCTCCCCTGCCCACCAGTATGGAGCGAAACAGCTCTGCAGCTGCATGGCTGGTCTACCTGCTGCACTTCCTCCTTTATCTAGCATGTGAATGGCTGTCACAATCCATGCCATCATGGATCAGAGAGTTATCCCACTCCTCACAGAAGAAACCCCTGTGAACTGCAGCCCTGAAGCATGCAGGTGGTGCAAATCCCCTGCTCAAGTTCCTAGCATCCTGTCCCCCTACCCTCTGCAGCCGTTCCACTGCAGCCAGGGACCGCCAGGCCTGTGCAGGATCTGTCCCTCGCTGAGCAGAAAGTTGAAGTAGGGACTTAAACTGTTTTGCCAGGCTTAGAGAATGTAAAGGTCAAACCACTGATTTTGGTATACATACGTTCTTTGTCCTTCTCAACAAGAGACGTCGGTGGTGCGATGGCAGCACCTCCCATGCCTGTGAATGAAATTATAAGTCACATAACTGAAATGTAAGACATTCATGCAGATGACGTGTTTTGTCATTTCAGATAACAAAACTCTTCCGGACACATTAATCCAAGGCAGCCACGGAAGTGCAAACATTCATCCCCAGGACTCCTACAAGAAATCATGGTGCTCGCTGAAGGCCTTTGCATCCACATTTTTATATAGCTTGCTGCCAATAACAAGCATCAAAGGGGTGGAAAACGCGTCTGACTCTGGAAATCTTAGTGATGATAGTTAAACCGTTGCAAACGTAAGATTTCTAATATATCAAAGGGTTCCATATCGTACCAAGCCGATGTGCTACGGGGATGTGAACAATACACATTATGCAATACAATTGCCTTAAAATCAATACTCGTGATTTCAGAAGGCTGTAGCAGGGAAGACCGCAGCAGTTAAGACTGCATGAAAATGGAGCTTCAACTCAAAGATTGTTTGCTCATCAAGCCAACTAAAAAATTATACTGTACTCAAGGACAATTACATTAATACAAGAGTGAGAAACAGAGGGCCTTTTCCAGTCAGGGAAGTGTGAATGGCAAAGTAGTTCTAAACATATATTACAGAACATAAAGCATTTTATTAAACATAACCCTGTTTCAAAAATGAAGGTCTAAAGAAGTGGGTCTGTATTACCAACGGTGAATCTGCTACTGAAATTCAGAGCAGATTTTTAGTTTCTCTGAACTGAGAGAGATATCCATCCACACAGAGCCACATTTTATTATTTGGCTCCAAGGGCTTTCAAATAAGGAGAGGTGCAGTGATTGCACACACTAAGAGCAGTCAAAGCTCAATCTTTTAAAATCAAACTACAAGAATGAGCTTATGCATCTCTGTTCACTGGAGCCTACATCATTCAGAAATCTCTAATGCATGTATCTAAAAACTAATGTTAAAAGGGAATTTCACAGGCAAAAAAGGTCTCTTTTACCCCTAAAAAATAATGTGGTTGCCTACTCTACAACAGCTACTCCGTAATAAATGTATTATAGGAGGCCAATGGTCACTAGATTCTTTGGGTGAGAAGGAAGGAATAGTTTACAGCAAAACAGAAAGAACCTGACTGCAGAATATTTGATTTGCCCAAGGACATAAAGTTAGACAATTCTCCTCTTACTTCTTTTCCTCCTCTCTCTCTCATAATCTTCATCTTCATCAGAATCTGGATCTGGTCTTCTTGAAAACCCGCTGGCTTCATGCCGGTCTTTACGTCTCCTAATAATTAGAATAGGAATTATGGTAAGAAACTATCAAGTGAAAAAAGAACTAACGTTTCAGAGAAACGTTTGCAGTGTGAATTACATTACTAGCTCCTAATCTGCATTTCATATGATGCTTTATCAGCTAAGATGTCTCTTGTAAGCACACTGCCTGTTTTGATTGATTCTTTCCGGTTTTCACATTTTCTGCTTTCATCCTTTATAGAAAAATCATTTTTTAAACATTAGATGTGGTCAAATCCTCCAACAGATATTCACACTTACTTTCACACTGAAATCTAGTCATTGAGAATGCACAGAAATGAAGATCCGCACAGGTGGATCTGTTTGCAGACCAAACCTCAAATTTAGATGGTTGCAATGGAAGAAATGCAGGATGTAATTACCAGGAAGGTAACAGAAGACCATAGCTGATTGTCTTGTTTTGAACAGTATGCCTACAGCATTACTGGCTTTCTGCTACAAAGATTAAGAATGTCAAAGATTAAGAAGATTAAAATGGTTCAATGAACCAAAACATTCACCATGTATAAATCTCAAATTGGTGAAAACGTAGATTAGTAAAATAAAAATATTTGTTTTGACCTTAGGGTCATGTTTTAAGTCATGTAATATCTGCATGTACTTTAATACAATCTTAAAATGGGGATCATGACAGCCCTGACTGTGTTCTTTTAAGAAAGAAAAAAGTAGGTATTTGTAAGACATTACAAGCCTCAAATACAAAGGGGAAAAACGTCCCATCCCCAGCACTAGCCATGAAAGTTGTGCTAACAGAGGGTTCGTTAAGAATAGAGGTCCCACAGTTAGGTATCATTGAGGCACCTGACAAGCAATACTCTCAAGAGACTCACTATATTAAAAAGCAAATATCCCCAAATATATTTTCTAGAGACTGCACCATACAAATATTTGTGTTGCCGCAACAATGCATACATGCTTAGTGCAGATTTGGTTATTGAAACACATTATAGGAGTAATCTCATGTTCAAATCTCATGACATAAAATCATTTTTTGAAGATGGTTTGTTTCCTGAGGTTGTAGAGCTGTGGTGGGCAACCTGCAGCCCGCCAGCTGCGCACGGCCCGCCAGCAGATTAACCTGATAGGCCGCGTGCGGCCCCCGAGACAGTGTTTACGTTGACCGTCTGCAGGCATGGCCGCCCGCAGCGCCCAGTGGCCATGGTTCGCCGTTCCTGGCCAATGGGAGCTGCGGGAAGCGGCGGCCAGCAGGTCCCTGGGGCCCGCGCCGCTTCCCGCAGCTCCCACTGGCCAGGAATGGCGAACCGCGGCCACTGGGAGCTGCAGGCAGCCAATGTAAACACTGTCTCACGGTCCGCCAGCGGATTACCCTGACAGGCTGCATGTGGCCCGCAGGTTGCCCACCACTGTTGCAGAGCCATCAACATTGATTATGTATTTTTGCCCTCTCTTTTGTTGGGTTTACAGAAAAATAAAAAGGAGCCCTGGCAATCCATGGCGAAGCTGTAGGTAAGGGTACATCTAACGCTGCAGCTGGAGGTATACTTTCCGGCTTGGGTAGATGAACATGTGCTAGCTTTGATCAAGATAGTATCTAAAAATAACAGTATCGCCATGGCAGCACAGGCAGGGGCAGCCAGTTACCCTGAGTACAAACCTGCCCAGGACCCTCAGTACTTACTCCGATAGCTAACCTGTCCAGCCACACCTGCCTTTAGCATGCTAGCTCACTCCAAGCTAGTGTGCGCACATCTAACCAAGCTGGAAACTACCCCTCCAGCCTGAGTGTAGAGTTACCTTAGGGTTCATTCAGAATTCACTGACCCTTTGTGCCAAATAAGGAACAGCATGAAAGGGCCTGAGAGAGAGTCCCAGGTAGTCCTCTTTCACTGGCAGGGTGGTGATCACGACTAAAAGAAAAGGAAGCAGTCTACTTGACCAGAAAGGCGGAGGGAATTGGCAGAAGTAGGACCTAGGTTATCCCTAGTGTAACTTCACTGACGACAGAGGACACACATCATGGAGGAATTTGGCCCATTAATCCTACTAATAAAGCTGGAAACGTTTTCAATTTGTATTGAAATAGCAGGGGAAACATCTGCCAGCTATCCAATAAGATTAATCAGTTACTAATTTAAAATACACTATCCTACAGGAACCAAAGAGCTGTAGAGTAAATGCTTTTTTTAATGACATCAATGCTTTTACCCGGCTCGAGGAATGTTTTCTCTCATGCTTTGAGAAGCCATGAATAACAATATGCAATTCACTTCTTTTAACTGAAGGCTGAATAAAAAAGTGTCCCATCGCAGAAACCCAAACGAAAGGCTTACTTTTCTCTTTCTTCAATCTCTTTTTGCCTCTCCAGCTCACGCTGTCTTTGTCGTTCCTCCCTCTGGCGTTTTACTACTTTCTCATAATCATTGGGAAACATAGGATCATATTCATCAGCCAAAGGAATCAGCACATCTCCTGCAGAAAACCCACTAGGTACGGGATCCTTACACAGAAAAAAGCATAAATATCAATGTGATCGGCCACCTGAGAGCAGCAGTTGGAATCAGCCAGCTGTTTTTACCACTACCAACAAGAAGGTGAAATCCTAGTACGATTGAAGTCAATGGGAGTTTTGCCATTGACTTCAATGGGGCCCAGATTTTACCCTATGTCATTTTCCTCTCAAATTTTTGTGTGCAGAAAACAACTAACCCACCCCCTCCCTTCCAAACACAAAGAGATGCCAAACAAGCATAGCTAAGGTCACATTAATACCCAATAAGTTCTCTATCCGAAACTATAACCTGCATGCGTAGGGCTGTGAGGGATGCTTGGATGCAAGCTCACAGGTTTCTTTCATCTGTCTGCTACTACACCTCTACCCCGATATAACGTAACCTGATAGAACACGAATTCGGATATAACACGGTAAAACAGTGCTCCGGGGGGGCGGGGCTGCGCACTCTGGCGGATCAAAGCAAGTTCAATATAACGCGGTTTCACGTATAACATGGTAAGGTTTTTTGGCTCCCGAGGACAGCGTTATATCAGGGTAGAGATGTATATTATGGACTGACATCCTCAACCATTTTTATTCCATCTGGAAGGAATATCTGCTTTGCAGCAGGTAACTTTCAAAAAAGCTTCATTAAGAAAGTTTGTCTTGACCCATTACCAAGCACTTAATAGTTTTTCTTACTTAATGGTCAAACATTAGATTTCTTCTGTTTGTTATAAAAGACCACTTCCAAGCATGGTAGGGTCACAATTTAAATTTTTTTTTCAACCTACCTACCTCACAGGGTTGCTTGCAAAGTGCCGTGAGCTCCTCAGAAGAAAGGTGCTACGTAAACACATACTGTTTAGTTCAATTAAGAACACAAAGGGCTTGTCTACACAGTGAGGTAATGCGCTCTATGATTTCTAAAGCGCACTGATGAGTTGCACATTAATTGGCCCTGTGTATACTCTCCTGGTGCACACTAAAGGTTCCTTACTGTGGTTTAACATTATACTGTTTCAAACAGTACTATGTTAAAGCGCACCAACAGGGTTTACATGGGCCAGTTGTTGTGCAACATATCAGTGAACTTTAGAAATCACACCCCTATAGAGCACATAACCTCCCCCAGCCCCCCCATGTAGACAAGCCCTCAGTGATCTATAGATTTACAGACTGTAGCACCAGGAGAAGTTTGCATACATTTGGAATGTTCATGAGTGAAAATAGGTCTGAACAGAAGAGAGGCTAAAAGCAAGGAGAACAGCTTAGAGCAGTAGGACAAGTAAATTAATAAGTAAAATGCAGACTACTACAGAAGGCAGGGAAAGAAAACGAGAATTCAGAATCAGATGTAATCTGCTGTGTTTTCAAGCTGATCTAGCCTTACCTTTAAGCCAGCAGCTACATGAGGTGGTGTGTCTACAATCTGTCTGTCATCAGAAGAGCTCCCTCGCTTCAGGTCAATCACTGGAGCAAGGACTGTCGTTTGTTTTGTCCTCTGACTCTGAAAGCATCAAAATACAAAAAAAGCAGGAGAAGACAACACGTTCATTTTTTAAAAAAGGGGTATTTACTTCATATTCCTAAACTAGATGTTTCTTGATTTCAAGAAAGCTTAAAAACGGATGAATATTGTCTCAGGCCTCAATCCTGCCTCTCTGCCCCATGCAAAACTCACCATACCACTTCCATTTTCATTTTACCAACATATAGTTCTTCCTCAGCATTTCTAACAGTGCTTGATGTTGTGATTGTTCATTTCATATGTTATTTATGCACCAGCACCACGGGGAACAATACAGCTCTATGGCTAGAGTTTGTTGACTACCGCTGTAAAGCTTATACAGGAACACAGATCCTGCATAAACCATGACTATTCTTAAAGGGCTTGATCCTACCCCGCTGAAGTCAATGGGAGTTTTGCCATTAACTTCAATGGGAGCAGGATCAGACCAGAAGTGTGTTTGGTTTTCTAAGTCTAGAACTGAAAATATATCTTTCAAATTGAGAGGATCTCCTTAGAGAAGAGTTTTGTCTGAATAAGAGCAGCATAATAGGTTTTTTCTTACACGGAAGTCCTGTTGCTTTTCACATTTCACCATGAGGAAAATAGAACTTTTTAAAAACAGGATTAATACATTATTATATATATATATATAGCAGGATGGGTATCCAAGGAAAGACAGACTGAAATTGCTGCATCGTGACTCAGAACCACACAGAAGGGGGGTGCTTTAAAAGAACACATCTATCAGTTGTAGACTTATTTAAGGTTTCATTTGTACAGAACTCATTGTAAATTAAGGACTAAATTCTGCTCTCAATTACAGCTGCATAAATCTGCAGTAATTGCATTGATTTCCACGAGGATAACTGAAAACAGGATTTAGCCCCAACAAAGGATTTTACTATTTAAAAGTTTAACTATAATTTTCCTTCTTCTAATTGATCTTCTTTGCACCAGAAACTATGGAGACTTTGACATCAGTAGCAGCCTGTGATTGATGCACATGAAAAATACATTCATTCATCATCAACAAAAGAAATAGGACAATGATGATGTCATGTTGCAATATATTAAGAGAGAAGACAGCTCGGTACAAACTTGCTTCTTAGTTTTCCCTGAAGGAATTAGTTTATACCTTCTCTGCCTCCCTTTCAACCTTCTAAGTGACTGGAAATATTCTCAGCAGCAATTTCTGACCTGACTGGCAATACCGGGAATCACACCACAGCCTCTGGAGGCTTTTAAAATGATAAGCAAGAAATGATGCAAATTGGTCAACAGCAACCAAATACCAAGAAGCACAAAATATTGAACATCTCCAATTTCCCATCACAGGCTGAAGCAGTCTTGCCTATTCACTTATTTTTAAAATTCTTAAGTGCCTAATTTAACGTCTTCAGGGTTAAATTTGGGCTCCATGTCAACACTTTAACTCCATTATTTATTTAAGAAATGAGAGCAGCTCCCACAGCCATGCTGTGCATATATTGATTATGCTATACTCTACACGAAGGGTCTCAGAGAACTTATACCTCTTTGTTCTTGCTTCTA